TCTTTTAGGAAAAAAATCACTATATTCTTTTAAATCGGAATTGTGCTTTTTCCCCCCTCAAAATGTTGTCTTAAATCTCAGAATTCTGAAATTAAAGTCGGATTTAAAAAAAACTTTTGTTCATATACCTAAAGGTTTTTTTCTCATGTGCTCCTTATCCTGTCGCGTACATTAACAAGCCTACAGCATGTTCAGTATTTAATACCAGTGAACTTTATTACATGATACAAGGTTGACTATGTACTAACTACCAATAACCTAGAATAACCAACTATATTGTGATGTTTTGTACAAACACAGCAAATTAAGGGTGTTTTACATCCAGAAATGAGAAACAAAACCATGCTGAGATTTTTATTCAAGTCTCAACTAAGTCATAGAAATGCTTTACCAATTTACATAGCACTAAAAACACCTGTTGTATGCATAAGACGGGGACATGTCAAAATAGGCTGCAGCTACAAGAGATCTCAATAGCTTTTAAGGGCAGTTTTCAATCTGTACAGTTATTCCATTTAGTATGCAAGTTACTGAAAGCAGACACTATAGGGAGACGAGAGTGCAAGGTGTTTCACTCCACAGCAGTTGATATTTTAGACAAAACTGTAAATGCACATATTTGCAAACAAGGCTATAAAAAGTAGGTGGACCTCAGTTGAATAACATTTTTAAGTGACTCAATTATTGACTTTACATTTCAGACTGGATGAAGACCAGATAATAATATTAATAAAAAAGCTTAACATAAAAGACTCACAGATAGTACTTTACCACTCTTACAATGTCATACACACAGAAAGGAGGCCTTTGTGATGTTGTGTAGGCTTTATCAAAATGAAGCCAACAGATGTAAAGGATGCACAAAATCTTCCAATAGAAAAAAAATGAACGGCATGGCTCCATTTTCCCAAGACAATACATCGAAGTTTCATCTCATACAACCCCCACCTAAAATTCAGGTTAGAAGTGCTAAAAATGTAATCATTCAATATAATTACCATGTGACAGACCAAAGTAATGGTTCATGTGGTAGAAAGAACAGAATAGCAGGAGTACAGGGGGAAGACCGAGGACGGGCCGAGTGTTGTATAAAACCAAAAGTACATTTTCTGAAATAAAAAGGAGTCTGCGCAGGGCCACAAACTACCACACTAACAAGCTTTCCTTTTGTCGTCTTAAATAATGGACCAAATGGATTGAGCAACAGGGGCCTTCTCGTTTGATATCGTACAAAATGTCTATAAATCAACATTGACGTAACAGATACTGTAGGAAACGCAGGGGGCACTGTATGACGTCAAACAAAGAGGCCACCATCTTCAGCACTTGGTCCACTGCAGTGGGGTTTCAGGTCTTTCAGCTTTCTACAGCTGGCGGTTCCGTCTCTGCAGAGATGGACTTGTCTGCCTCTTCATACTTGTGAAGCTGTGGTTCAGCAGGGCTCTCTGGGCTCCGTCTGAACAGAAAGTACATCATCACTCACAAATACTGCTGTGGTTCAAATATGATTAGTTACTAAAGAGTGGATGCTACCATTAGCTTTGCAATGGCTAGCAAATGGGTCCTGTTTCTCCGAAGTATTTATTTTCTTTTTCCTTAACCTACGTATTATTATTATTATAAATGTTGATTGCATAATGACACCATCTGCATTTAGATGTGTTTTCTAAAAGTCTCACTATTACGATGATATTCTGTCTGACACCGAGTACAACCTAACAGAAAATAATGGCCTGATTTACAGCAAAAAGCCATGTAAAACAAAATGTAGTGTTTCCTATGGTTGTTGCCAACTCTTTTTCAATGAAAGTAGCTAGCATCAACTTAAGATGCGATTCACCAGGTAAAGTCATATACGCACATTTGCATATTGGTGTACCGTGGTGAGGGGCTGCTAGCAAGAACTAAAGACAGATTACTTTAAGCAGCATTCAAAATAAATAATAATGTATTTTATTTGTATATTTCTTGCTCTTTCCCTGATTGTCTTGATAAGTAGCTACATTTGTTGATTGTTGGAGGCTCTCAGGAGAAGAACAAAATCTAAGCAGATGTGTTTGAAACAGAGATTCCTGTCTTTTTTTCGTTGTAGATGAGCCAAGCTCTGCCTTCATAGCATGATCTTTGCCCATTCCAATTACAAGAGCATTAGTTGAGTTTACATGGGACGCATACCTGATTGGACTTGAAGCAGTATCGTCATTATTTTCCTCATTGGCTGGTGATTTTGGATTTTCCTTCACCTCCATATCATCCTTTTTCTCTTGTGAATCCCCATTCACTGGAGCAGAGTCTAAAAAAATGCAAATTAACATAAAAATACAAAATAAATCTAAACCATATTAAACCCAGATGGAGGTCATATCCACGGTGTGATTTCTTACCTGTGTTTTGTGTCTCCTTCTCATTATTTTCTGGTTCCTTCTCCTCTGTTTGAGGTTTAGCTGCCTCCTCAGACTTTCCCATAAAGCGTAGTTTTAACTTGTTGTAGACCTCAGTGGCTTTTATCATGACTGCATTACTGGCCTTATACCGTCGGATCTATATTGTCCCAAACACACAGAAAAAAAAACATGAAAGAAATTGGAAATACAAATGATCATTGAAATAGGAAAAATACAGGACTGCCATGACAGCTCTGATTTTCGGATAACAAAACAAGTTAGGTCGATATAAAAACGTATTCAGCATGGTGTAAATCAACATTTGAGTGAAATAAATAATTAAGGCTAATAAATAAGATCTAATTAGTAAAGTAAAGTGACCACATTTTTATATTGTGTCATTAGAAATCACCTCAGAGGCACAATCAAGTGTTGGATTAGTGCATTGTTCATTGATGATCAATACTCTGAAAAATCAATGGTAACCCCAAGAATGTCATTTCTGGGGAATATTTGTAATTTCCTGACTAATGCGGTGTACGTTACCACAAAAAGTACACACGTTTAAAAGAGGACACTATGCCATGTGTTTCATTTGCCGTTATTGTAACTGCAGGTTATCCTGTCGCAAGATACGTTTACGAACCTAAAGAATTATCATAGAAAACACACCTTTTTTAGTGTGGCAATAACTTCAGCGTTCTTATGGAGGATCTGGCTGGTGACGGGCACAGCAGCCAGTTCATCCAGCGCCTGTAGACACCGGTCTATGTCCTGAAAACACACAGTTATACACAATTTCATTTTTCATGCTGGCTTTAAAACAAAGACATGAGCAAATGTTGCTTGATTTAAATCATATGTCACTTACCGGGTTGTCCACTTTGAGTGCAAACTTTATGTCAGTGTGAAGTTTCTGTAGCTTTTCATCTGGTGATGGCTCTGCGTGGGAAGTTAGAGTCAATATTTTTTATTTTAACATGATTGCCCTCGATATGAATCTTTCAATCGTCTATGCAAATACCTTTGACGAGTACTCTTCAATAAACAGACTGACTGTATGAGGCACTTACCCTTTTTCTTTTCCACCTTCTTCTCTGGCGGCCTCTCTGGTTTGCGTCTTGGTTTTTCAGGCTTAGACCTGAGAGACAGAGACGGGGGAACTCTGTGATCTGTGTACATTAAATGTTAATGAGGTTCTTCTAATGAGTTTTTGCATACTGTAGTCCACATGTGTCAAACTCAAGGCCCGGGAGCCAAATCAGGCCCTTGGTGGATTTAATTACGGCCCGCAGGATCATTTTAAATTACTATTAGATCTGAACCCCCGGTATATTGCACGCACACCTTCACTCCATCCTGAGGGTCTCCTCAGCTCAGAGCCTGAGCCCAAACATTGATGAACTTGCTCCCAAGATGAGATGCCAAGTATCTGCTTGAACTAGCATCACAGAGCAGCACCCTGAGTTTAATGGATGTTTCCTTCTGCACTTTTTCTCTCACGACAACAGGGCGTGTTTGGTTTTTTCTTTGAGGGAAATAGTTTTGTTGAAGCTGTTGTTGGCCTGTGGAAAAATGTAATCATAAGAAATGACTACGGAAAAGCTGCAGATAGAGCCATAAGAATTGAATGCAACTGATTATTTAATCATCAATGAAGGGCCGTTGGTGAACTCTAGTTCGAAACCCGCCTCGGCCGCCACTGCGTCAGGCCGTTGTGTCCTTGGGCAAGGCACTTTACCCGCATTTGCTTCTGTGGGTAATGTCCACAGTAATGACTCTTACATGTGTAATATGTGTAATGTGTCATTGTAGAGCGCTTTGAGCACCTGTAAAAGCGCTCTAATAAAAAATGTAATGCATTATTATTATTATTAATGTTGTTTTTATAGGCAATCATTTAAGCTTTGTTAGTTCCAGGTTTAATATGTGCAATAAGTTCATTTCTAATAAGTTCTGTAATAAGCATTGAACCAGTCCGGCCCTCGACTCGTACCCATTAGTGTACCCTCTGTGTATTTGAGTT